TTTGACTGAGTTCCAATAAGGTTCAGTTAGGTTTACTCCAAAGTAAGTGTGCCGAGAATTAATCATTGGCAGATTAAGACTGCAGTCCCAAGTAAATTAAGTCCCGTTGGACTCGGTGGGATTTACTATTAAGGAGGAGACATGTTCAGGATTGCAAGGCGCATAAATCCTTTTCAATGCCGAGTGCCCAGGATGGTCTTTTAATTTGACTGCCCATTTCTCTCCAGTAGAGAGAATTTATTTGGGGGAAACCGCCTGCGTTGTGCAGGAAGGCAGTAAGAAAGGCGGCTGCCAGAACGGGAGCCCCTTTCCCGGGAAGAGGGGGGGCAGCTCCGATTTGTCACCCACCACAGCTCAGTCCCTCCAGAGCCTTCCTAGCCAAGTCAAGGGTCTCCCTTGAAGGGTCGGCTGGTTTTCAACCCACCGACCCCTCTTAAAATCTGCCGTTGCCAGTGACCTGTCGCGCAAGATTCTCTAAGGACCGTGAAGCGCTCTTGTCTTCTTCACACTATAAATTCTGTGGAAGAACAAGAATAATTGTGATCGACGCGAAGAAGAAACCAGAACGGGAAATGGAACCGAAGCCTTTATCTCTCTCCCTTTTGGCAACCCGCGAGCCCTCTGGTTTTCTCATTCGTGGTTACAGACTTGCGCTTTAAAAAAGTTTGGTTAATGTTTGTTAAGTTGCCGTCGTCATCTTCCTGCTTGCTGTCGAGCAAGCCCCTTCCTTCTCTCTCTCTCTCTCTCTCTCTCTCTCTCTCTCTCTCTCTCTCTCTCTCTCTCTCCCTCTCTCTCCGTTTCCTTTCTGGTCAACGGGACCATCTGCCAAACCCACGGCTCTCTCCGACTCTGGCATCCAGAGAGCACCCGCCAGTCGGGGAATCGAGGCAGGCAGCTTAAAAGGCGGGCTTTGAATTCAAGTTGCTCAGGATGCAACTCTCGCCCTTTCTTGCTTGCTCCCCTGTTTTATTTAGTGAAATATAAACACTTTAATAAACTCTCTAAAGAAAACCGGCTTTCCTTTTTCCAATCCCGCGGATTAAGAATCGGGCTTGAGGCTACAGCCCTCTGCGCGCTCGGCCTGGGGGCAAGTCTCACAAAACGGGGTAGGGGGTCTTACTCCCCAATAAACGGGTAAAGGATGGGGCTAGCTGTGCTTGCCCCGTCTCCCGATGACTGGCCAAGAAAGCGCTCCTTCCTCCCTCTCCAAGCCCGAGGAGAAAGTTGTGGAGCGACTCTGGGTGGCGGACAGGTGAGCTGGAGGGTTGGCGAACCGACATCGACTACAATGTGTAGTCAGGGTTGTGGAGGATAGGCTCTCGCGCGCGCCCAGGTGGGGTTCACACGTGCACACAAATGCAGCTAAGCCCGTGTCTTGAGCGCCACTTCTGAACACACGTTTAGATCGCGGCCGCTCAGGAAGGGAAGAAGGAAGACCAGGGAGCGCTGGAAATAGACGCAGTTCTCAAATGTGCGGGGACCAGATCATCACCATAGAATTGTTAAATTGGAAGGGATCCTGAGGATCATCTAGTCCAACCCTCTGCAGTGCAGGATTCTTGAGGTTTTCCTTCCCCGCCTGGTCCGAGACCGGATCTTGACTAGCGGGTGGGATGCAACATCATATTTGCTTTTTTTGCTTAACTTTATTAGCTCTGCGCTGTCTCTTGTTCAGAGTTTTCACTTCAGCAAAACGCTCTCAAAAACCGACCAAAATTTTGAAAACGGCAAATGCGACAGGATAAGGATAAGATATAAAGCAGCGCTAAAAAGCAGACAGCTCACTCAAACCCGAATTCAACGGATTTATATATATATATTAAGCACGGGATAATCAAATGCGCGGAAAAGGAGATTTTGGAGACAGGGCGCCACCGCGGAAAAGACCCTCTCGCCCAGTGCCTTCCCACTGAACCGAGAAGGCGGGCTCCAGGCGGAGAGCCTCTGGGGGTGCAAAGCGCGGGCAGGCGCGCAGGTGCGCAGGCGTGTGAGACAATTTAAGTATACTGTAGTCCGATTCCCCAGTGCGTTTCAAACCTTCCATCCCTCAGTATATCTACACCACCCTCTCGGAGTGCTACTCTAACTACGCTAGAGAGCGAGCCTGGATCTGGCCACTCACAACCATTCCACTCCGCCTGTTAGCCCCACCCTTGATGATCCGGTTTTTCACCGAGATGGCGAGAAAAGCGGTACTCAACTAATCCTGACTCCACCAGGAGGTTCTCTACTCCGCCTCGGGGGAGCGCTCGAGGCCTCCCTCCAACAAAGGGGGCTAGTAGCCCAAGCACTCCCGGTCCTGGCCCGTTATTGGGTTGTCTGACTGAGGCTGACCCGCGCGCGTGGACCCCAGGCGCCTCCTTTCCACTCCGGCCTAAATGGTTTGCGGATCGAGCTAGCAGGCTTGTTGCTCCGACTTCACTTCGCCCCCTCCGCGCCCCCTCTCCATGTTTACCTCCCGGCATTAGCCCGGGTGGGACAGTACCCCCGTCCAACCACACCCCGCGCAATAGTCCCCTTTTCGGGACTTGTGGGTTACAAGTTGGAAATCGACCCGGATTCCTCCCAGAAAGAGGAAAAAGACGGGGGTGTCTATGGCGGATCAAACCCCATTTTTTAAAGGAGTGACGCTGCCTGCTCACCTTTTCATTCCCCGCCCCCCTTACTCTCGCGTTCCTCATTTCCCTGGGAACTTTTCTCCTCCGGAGTTAACTATTAACCGAGGCACAACGGGCAATTTTCTTGGGAATGTGAGCTATTTCCTTTGCACTGCAGATAGATGGGGCGAGTGATTAATAGCAGATATATATTTCAAAGAGATCGCCGATGTTTTATGTTGAGCAGAGGGGGCGGGGAGAGATGCGTCGCAAGAGGTCCCCGGAGAGGTGCGTCTGTGCAAAAACGCGCAGGAAACCAACCCCAAATGACATTCTGCGTCTATATCTATCTTATCCATATGTTTTTAAAAGTTTAAACATTTCAATTAAGAGGAGTAATTTTCTACTTCGTCGTTGCAGTTGAAATTACAAGAATGTCGTGTGTATGATGGGTGGGAGTGGGGTTAGTTCCTATTTGTATAATGCAGACTAGTATTGGCTCCCCTGGAAGTCTCCAGGAAGTTGGATGGTTTCTCCTGCGCTCACACCCGACGCCAGGCGCTTTTTATTCCATTTCCCGAAGCAGGGGCGCTCCTTTGCCTGCTTAGCTTTATTTCTCCGGCTGATCCCGGGCAAGGCAATTTTTTGGTCATTACCTACTTGGCAATGAAGGGGTGCGCACTACCTGGTGCTTATAGGATCCGGAACAGGCACTGCCTGAAACGCAGAAGGAGCGGGATGTGAGCCACCAAAATAACCCACCTCTTTCGAGGTGCTTTGCTCCTGCAGCCCGCGCAGGATTAATTCCAAGCGGCGACTCTGAACGAGGGATGGCGCTGCGTTTGCGCGGCTCAGTGAGCTTGGCAAACCAGCCGCCCAAGCCGCGCAGGGCTCCCCCGACCTTGGCTTTCTGGGAGAATCCAAGTTCTCCAAAGGGACCGATCCACAACATAGTTACGCAGACCGAGGTCGGAGCTGGAGAAATCCTGCTGAAATGAATCGAGTTGTGGATCGGGTTCAGAACCGCGCAGGTCGATCCTAAACGAGCCCCGCTTGGTTTAACTGGGTTGCGGGGGTATTTCCTCGCCACTACAGAGTACGCCTGCATAGGCTGTAGGGTGGCGCAGAAGTTGGAGAGGCTGTCCTTCTTAGGATGGGACGCAAAGCCTCCCCAACATCTTTCCACGAATCCCATCGTGGTGGTGCCCTACACGTCCTCTGCTCCTCCTCCTCCTCCTCTTACAGTCTTTTTTTTGGGGGGGGTCCCTCTATTTTAGTTTCTAGCCTTCCTTCCCCCCCCTCTTTCTTTCTGTTTCCCTCTGCCCCCTTTCTCCTCCCCCTTCCTCTTTCCTTCCACCCACTCCTTCTTCTTTGCCCCCCCCCCCACAAGACCACGACGGTGGCATATGAAGTTCTAAGTCTAACTGGCTGGTGTCAGGCAGTTCTCCCCCTCTCTCTCTCCCTCTCTCCCTCTAACTCCTAGGCAGCCTGGCGTGACGGATTAAACATCAACTAGTTAAATAAAAATTAATATCAAATGCTTCCTAACTTCTAATGTCATGTTGTTTATAACTAATGAACTGATTAGGGGATAAACACATCAGGAAGACGTTTCTGCTCCTCTGCTCTTCGCCAGAGACAGCGGCTTCGAGAGGCAGCGCTCCCCCCCACCAACCCACCCACCCACCCAATTGTCCCTGCCAGGGTTCTTTCCCCCCACATATAAAACGCCAGTGAGAGTGGCAGATGGGGAGGGGGACACGCTGCAGTGGCGGGGTGTGTGTGCTCCGAGGTGGGCTTGGGCGCTTAGCTGTGGGCTCCAAGGACCTCTCTTGGGGAGGAGGGGGGTGTTTATATTGCCAATCCTCTCCCTGGCAGAGATGCGCCCACAGACTCGGAGGGGGGGGAGAACCAGGGGAGAAGATCACCGCTGTCAGAAGGCCAGCTCATGCCTGCGCTTGTTTGAAAGTTCCTTTGGCGATGGGTCACTCAACAAACGGACATTCCTACAATTATTAACAAAGCGGTTCGGCTATATTCCACGTTTGCGTCCCGTCTCCCCACTCGATGCAAATTCCCCCCCCCCCCCAACTTGGCTTGTTGGTGGATGGTGGCACTGGAGGTGTCTTCTCGACCTCTTTCCCTTCGGTGTCCCCACCCACCTCCTAGCGCTCCCCCCCCAAAAAATTTTTGGCCCCCTGGCCCCCACCCCTCTTTCCCAGGAGCTCCTCATAGTTCCGGGAAGAAACCCCCCAGGCTTTTAAAACACTGTTTGTCCAGCCCGGCGTCGGTTTTGACAAGACCATAATAACAGGGGAAGCATTTTAAAACCAATTTAGCAAATGCAGAAATGTAATTTTAATGAAGAATCGATGAGCGAATGGTTCATTTTTCCTAGGGTACCTTGTTGGAGTTGAGAGACTTTCAATCAATGGGGGGCGGGGAGGCGGAGGGGGGAAAGGCGAGGAAGAATGGGCTCCCAGGCGCATCTGCTGCCGCCGCCGCGCCGCGCCTGCTCTCGCAATCCTGAACTGGGGAAGGAAGAGACAGGATTTGTCCAACAAACAAGCTTCGGAGCGCCGGTGAAGCTGACCGGCCATGAGACCGCAAGGAGGGAGGGTCTCAGGGGCTCGTAGGGGGCCACGCCATGGGCGTAGCTAAGCTTTTTGTTAGACGGGGCAGGCCTTTCGTGGGGGGGCAGAACCTCAGCTAGCTATGTATATTTATGGATTTTATTGATTTGGCTACGCCCGTGGGCCACACTCTCTCCCTAGCCAGATTCCGAAGTACATAGGAGCCAACTCCTAGGGGCCGAGGGGTCTTCCGCCGCCCCCCGATAAAATCTTTGAGGGGGAGTCCGCTCTCCCCCTCCGTCCCAAATTGATGGGCATTGCCATTCAAATGGTGTGTGTGTGTGTGTGTGCACCGCGTCATGTGATCAATTATGCGGAGAGGGGCTTACCTCCCCCCCCCCAATATTTTATTCAAGTTGGCACTACTGCCGACGGGGGTGGGGAACCCGGGTTGAAGATCTCGTCTGAATCCGACCTCGATTTATCTTGGCATTTCGGGTGAGGAAGCAGAGCTTAGACGGCTGACTGTGGTTGCCAGCTCTTCAGACTGATCACTGGGAGCAATGGGTCTACAGGCGAGTCAGGGCAAGGCTCTAGCTGCCGGGTCCACACACCCCATACCTTCCTTAAAGTGGTTCTTGAGATCTTTAAACAATGGCAGCCGGCCCCCTCCCTCTCCGCTGCCGACAAAGTGAGTTGGCATCTTACTCTCTGGAACTGGGCCTCACCACCCGCGGCGGCGTAGCGGACTGATGGTGCCCACCAAAACCCTCCGACTTGCGAGGCATTTTGGCAGCGATCGTCGGCCAGAAGCGCGCGCTCTCGCCACCATCCTGCAGATTACCTGCTGGACCACGGAGGGGAAGTCCTTGATTACCCAAGGTTGGGTTCTCCCACCTTGGAGGTTTTCCAAGCAGAAGCTGGATAACAGGGCTTCTTTGCGCGCGGGGAGAGGGGGTGAGGAGGACACGAAGGGCACTTCTCCAACTCTGGATTTCCTGAACGGAGCAGGAGGGTTGGGCTGGATGACCCACAGGGTCCCCATCCCCCACTCCTCCCCAATGATCCTAAGGGATATCTGGTGCGGCTATCCAAAGGTGGTGACTGTTAGCCAGACGCTCTTTGAAGGCAGCCCTGTATTGGGAAGGTTGTAATGTTTTATTAAGTTTTTATAAGTGATGGAAGCCAGGTGGGCGGGGTAATAAAATATTAATATTAATAATAATAATAATAATAATAATAATAATAATAATAATAATAATAATAATAATAATAGGCAGGGTAGGGAAATGGGGTTCCCATCGCCAAGCCTCAACAACGACCCTCTTGGGGTCCCAGGCACTCTGTACATGCCCTCGCTCCTCTCCACTTGCGACCGGGCCCCGAGGGCTAGCGCAGAGGAGCGTCTCTTGACAGTGTGTGCTTGTACTGGCAATTTTTCTCCCCTCCTTTTTTTAAGCTAGCTGAGGATCTGTGGAGCGGCATCTCCTTCTCCCAGGGTTTATTTATTTGTTTTTTTAATTCCCCGGGAAGGGGGGGTGAGTAGAGGAGCCCCTCTCCCTCCCCCTCTCTTTCGTTCTTCCTCTCCTTCCCTCCCTTTCTCGTCCTCTCGTTATCTAAACCGTTTAGCTTTGGGTGGTTGCTCCCAGATCTGGGGCTGGGGGGCGGGGGGGGGGGGTTAGCCGGCAAGACGGCCCAGCGAAGCGCTCGGCAGAGGAGCAGCCAACGCGAAAAGGCCGCGGCCGATCTGCTGGGCTGAGCCAAGCGGCCCAGGCGGGGAGACGCACCATTAGGCAAGGGAGGCATGGCTCACAGCTCCGGCGGGAGAGCAGGTAAAGGCAGGAGGGGGTGGGGGAAAGAGGCGGTTGGCTAGGGCCCCTGGGCCCCGCTGAATATTCACAAGGCAGGCAGGCAGGCAGAGATCTTTCCCCACCCCACCCGCACCCCGGTGTCAGCAGCAGGTGAAGGGAAACCCCCCATCAGATATAGAGAGACTAGCTTGGCTCCAGGGAGCCTACAGGTGTGCGGCGAGCCGCGTCTGAAATCTGGTACTGCGGAGCCTTCCCTTCGGCGGCCCCCGAGTGCAATCAGGACTTTTACCCAATGAAATGGGCCTTTGGAAACTTCCTCTTCCCTGGTTGGTTCCCTGTGGCGGCGCTCTTCTCCAATTAACCTTTTTTCCCACGACTTCCCTCCCAGCTGAAATTGGCGTGCGCTCCGTTTGAACGCAAGGAATGAAGTTTTGGTGTCAAATGGGGAAACTTAAGCCAGTGTCGAAGGTTTTGGATTTGGGGCCAAACTGGGTTAAGTCACACTTGCTGTGGTCGGCTCGCCTGTGCGCGGGGTCTGCCAAAAACCAAAATACAAGCTAAGTTATGGCGCTCTCCTCCTATTAATGTCCCTCGCAGGGACTTTCGCTCCCTCCGTTGTGGATCTAGCTGTTCTGGGGAGCGCAGGACGTCCCCTTATGGTGCAGGAGTGGGGGAGGCGGTGGGGGCTAAGTGAGTAGAGCTTTGGAAACTGAGGAGCTCACCCTATAGCTGCCACGTGCACACCCGGATTAAATCTTTGAAGAGCTTTCTGTGCCTTGGGGATGGGTTGAGGGTTCACAAACCGATCTCCAAATGCTGCTTCAGTCTCATCCTTGCCTGGGCGCACAATCTGGGCTCCTGGTGCCGCAATAGCTGGGACAGAAAGGCTTCAAGGCTTATTGACTAATTATGAGTGAGGTGGGGAGGAAAGGAGTCTCTGCTGCTGGGCCATTGAAGTCCTTGCTGGACTCAACAGAACCAACCCAACTGAGTCTTTTAAAAGAAAACAAGCCAGGAATCTTTTAAAAGAGTCTATTTTCGCTAGTTATTCTAACGAAGTTTCTCTAAATCTAGGAAGCACTTCTATAGAGAGAGATTCTGTAAACATATCCGGCAATATAAGGAAGATGAAATGCATCCAATTAAAACATGCAATATGCGTTAGGGAATCTATAACTGATGGCACGTGAGTTTGCGAAGGAGGCGATTTGTAGGGGAACCTCAAAATGAATGAACTTTTCTGGTTCGATGCGGGCCTTAGGATGCATGATCACTGATCAAATAAAGTCAGGAGCACATCAAACACTTAATACGCGTTAAGTGTACTGCTGTGTATTAATCGTGTGTTTCACACCTGCCACATAGGAGAGAAGGCCCAGCCAATTTTCCAGTCTCCCACGCAATGATTCTCGGTAGAAAATCCCTCTTCTCCCTTCCCTCCCCCCGTTCGAAGTCCCCTCTGTTCCATTTCCCTTCTGTGTCTCTAAAAGATCTGCCCAAGTCCCTTTGCATCTGAGGTTTAAATAGGAAGATCAATAGAAAACAGTTGTAATGATCTAATTAATTATAGCAAAATTAAAAGCGAGTAGAAAATCAATCTCTGATGGTGTTGAAGATGGAATTAAATTGATAGTCCATCTGTTCACCTCCTAGACCGTATAAATTTGCAACCCAAGGACGGAGCTAATGGGATCAGGCTGCTCGAAATCTCCTCCTATCTCTCTCTCTCTCCCCCCCCCGCCCCCGTTCTTACTCCTTCCTGAAGTTCAAACTTGCAGAATCAGAGCCTGCCGCAACTTCTCCGCCAGACAGTTGCAAAATTAAACACAATATGAGGCCGTTCCGGGTCAGAGTCAAAGCAACAAGCAACAACAGCAGTGTGAAACTGGGAAACACTGGTGCAAACTGGGATTCTATCTCTCTCTCCTACCCTCCCTCTTCCTTCCGGTTTATCCAGATAGGCCACTTCGTATCCTATTATTGGCCACAACTCCCTCTTCCCAAATTCCTAAACAACCACGTTGGTTCTAATGTTCCACTGGATCCTAAGCCCGCTGTTTTCGTATGCCACTTTGAGGGTAATCGATGGGGTTTGAACCAGCATGTAGCGGGTGGGTTGTGAGGCCTCGATATCCCCTTCCACACTACACAGCGGAGCTGCCTTTTAAAAAAGAGTGGCAGAATTAATCACAGTAATGAATTTGCACACTTGCTCGGAAGTAAAGCCCACGGAAGGGGATGGGAACTTCCGTTCGGGATCAGGCTGCGAAGCCATGCAATTCCGTACTGGTTGCACACACAGAAATCTGCCTAAATCCGAGTATCGGCTTAATTAATGGGCCAAGTACCACGCAGGGAGGGGAGGTGGCGGAGGAACCCTAACAAATTGGCCCAAAACAATGGCGTCTAAGGTGCACATCTAGGCAATTTCGAGGTGCGCGCGCGTGCAAACACGTGTATTCCCCTTACACACATACACACATACACACACTCTTTGGAAATGGCATTCTCTATTCCACCCGAAGGCAGGGATTCCGTCCTTCCCAAGGCCGACCGCCCCCTCCCACGGATTTTAGCTAGACCTTCTCCCAAGAGGGGTCGCAGACTTTAGGGAAGGGGTGGTCAGGTGGTCACCGACTGCCCGCCCGCCCTCCGGATCCCCCTCTCACCCCACCCACCCCAATACCTACCCTTCTTCCGGGGAGAGGCTTCCTCCACCAACCGAGCCGGCCCGGTAGGTCCCTCTTAGGCCTTTTCGCCGTCCTTCCTCTCTCTTCCCGCAGCTAGAGCACCATCCGTTTTCCTAGGCTTTGCTTTGTTTCTCACGAACCAGGACTGAGAGCTAGGAAGAGAGAGAGACAGAAATCCCTCCTGTCGCCCCGCTGGTCCCTTTTAGAAAGCAGCCGGGCGAGGACTCTGGCTTGGGTAGCTTTGCTAAATCAGAACCCCCCCAAAAAAACCAGCAAATCGCAACAGCAACCTTTGCAGCTTGCTAGTTCTCTTCTTCCTCGCTTTAACCCCCCCAACGCAACCCACCGCGCCGCTTCCCACCTCTCCAAACTCCCTGCAATTTGCCCTAGAAAGCATGGCAAGGAGGCAAAGACTGACGTCTGGGGAACTCCCCCCACCCCACTCCGGCTCCTTTAGGGATGAAAAATGGAAGATTTTTTTGTATGGGGGGGGGGGAGCTGCGGAGCGCAGTGAAATTAACAGAACAGAAACTCCGCTTCTTCCCCCGGATTTGGGGACGAACAGAAGTGCCGCGTAAGCCTTCGCGTAAAAACGCCAGCCCCGGTGGGTTTGCGGGGCCTTCCCGGTCCTGCGGGGTGCGTGCGTGGCGGGGGGTGTCCGCGGTCCCCTGTGCGGAGACAGCAGAGGCAAGAAGGAACGCGACTCCACGGTGTGGAAAAAACAGACTTTGCTGGAGCTCTGGAACTGGAGCCTCTGTCCTCTCCCCTTTTAAAAATCCTGCCCATTTTAGAAGTGGGGTAAACGAGATTTGCAACCCTCAAAGCCGTGATTGCTCTGTTGGTTCCCCTCGAGCTTTAGCGCAATGTTACCATTATCACCTAGGCCCAGAAGAAAACTCCTACATATACTGCTATATATATATTTATTTATTATATATATATGTATATATTAAAATACCTCTTCCTTTGTCCTTTTCTGAACCCCACACAGAGACACACGCGCGCGCGAAGAGGGCAGGCAGGCGCCCCGGAGCTCTGCTAATCCGTTTTATTAACTAATATATTCAAAAGGATGGCTTGGCCTATCGCGAAAGGCTATTGCAGCCCTTCTTGTCGGTTGGGGCTTTTGCCTGGTCGGGCAAAAGGTGAGCTGTCGTGGGCCGCTCGGTCGCTCCCCCTCCACCCTGTGAAATACACGCACATTTCGACTGGATTATGCACTGAAAGTTAGAGCAGCCCCAGGACTCCTGAAATTAGAATCCATTCGGGACTTTTCTCCGCTTCCTCCCCACGAACTACCGCCGCCTTACCTGAAAATGTACGCGAAGGATTAGCGCAGGTGCCACGGGCTGCTTCTGAGCAGAAGAAGACGCGCGATCTTCTGAAAAGTTGGAGAAGTTTGTTGGCATGGTGGGCAGAGAGAAATCGTTGGAGGTTTATTCTCTCTCTCTCTCTAAGGGAAAAATGTGTCCAAAATTAACTAACCGCCTCAGCAGCATCCAAGGGCGGCTATATTGAGAAAAGTTTGCAGAGAGGAAATCCTGAACTTCGCCGCCGCCGCGTGGAAAGGGCTGCAGCGAAATCCATTAGGTCAGGATCACACGCAGAGGAAAGACTGGCCAGCGGTGAGGGGTGGGTTAGGGAGAGGCGTCTTTGCAGACCTCGGGGTCGGAGAAATCGGGGAGGCAGCTTGGGTGGGCCGGGGAGAGAGGCGATGCTAGAGAGCCCCGGCCAGGCCGCAGTTCAAGGGCTGGGGAGCCCCTTTTGCTCCGGTCTCTCTGGCCCCTTCGTTGCAGCACGGACCTCCCCCATGAGCCCATCCTTTTCCCAGCCGGTGCCGGCTGAACGTGGAGCGGAGGAACCCGAATGTCTCCTCCCTTCCCTGCGTCCCGCAAGGCTCCCTTTCCTCCCTGCTGTTCATCTGGGGCTCCCTTCGCATCGCTTTGGGCTGGGGTCTTTTGGGGCTGTTTGTTCGGAACAACGAAAGGAGCTCTTTCTCTCAAAGAAGGTTTGGCTGCTCAGCTTTTGGAGCCGTTCACAATTCTCATATGCCCTATTTAATGTTGCCCTTAAAATGTTCAGTTTCTCCTCTCCTCCCCCCCCCCCTTTCTTTTTACACCATTTCAATTATTATTAATTTTGATCTTGGATTTAGATCTGCTCCTCCAGCCAAAAGCTTCCCGAAGCGGCTATACTTTTATTGGACTATGGTCTCAGATAACTTTAAAACCCTGCATTTGTTTCATTGCACAGAGAGGTCTTTGGGTTTGTGTGTGTGGTTTTCCCCCTGGTCGTTCGTTCGTCCGCCTCGTTCTCCTCTCCCTTTCCCCCTCCCCCTCCCCTTAATGTGTCCCTTTCGGGGACTCTCGTTCAATAATTCCCCTCACCCCTTCCTCCTCCCGATCCCTGCGTACGCACGCGCACGCACGCACACGCACACACCATTAGCAATTCCTGCCAAAGTCGAGTGACTTGGACCGACACACTTTTTAATTAGACTTCAGATTTGAGGATTACCTGCTTTCAGATTTTACAAAGAAGTATTAAACGGTGAGGGAAAGAAGGGAACAACAACACACACCCCCTTATAGGAAAAAGATGGAAACTGTTCTCTTGCAAACGAAGAAACTTTCCCTGGTATTCGCCCTCCCAAGGCCCTGGCTGAGGCTGACTCTCCACCTGAAAGCGGAAGGTTTAGGGTCAGAGACGGGGAGCGAGCCGCTGCCCCTTTTGGGGGGTTTTTATCTCCCTTCTCCCTCCAGACAAACTCAGCATTAAATCGCTATCCTCCTGGTTTACCAATGAATGAGGAGACGGCCACATTTCCGAATTCTGGGTGGCATAGTGGCGTCCACACACAGATTGTCGTGTGGAGGTTAACTTTGTCTCACCACCGTTTTGTTTCCCGGGAGAGAAAGCGCCTTTATTCAGCAAACAGAAATTGCTAAAAGTAACGATGCGCCGTTTGAAGTATTCGTAAGTTATTCAGATAATATACATGGGCAATAACACTTAAAAAATAACGTCACAGTCATGGAAAGAACACTAGAAAATTAATAACAACATCGCAGGTGCCTTTATTCTATCGACAGAAATAATTTCATGCGGGAACTGGCCAGTAACATGGAAACAATGGCCGTAACATGGAAATATATAATATAGAATATATGGATATATATAGAATATATATATAGAATATATATATGTCTATAGAAAGAGAAAGAAAATGGGAATATTCTACTTTCTCATTAGCTAGAGAGTGTACAAATAAACTCCTTGCCCTCTCGGCCTTCTAGGAACTGAATTGTTGTTTGTTTGGTGGGAGGGAGGGAGGGAGAAGTGCTCCCCCTTTTTCATGGATTTGAGGTGATGGGAATATAGTGCTCCCCCTTCTAATCCTCTCCTGTAGGGCTTTGTGAATTGCAGGCTCTCATCATTTCACTTTGGCCCTGCCTCTACTGGAATTACCCTTTCCAGGGACTTAATGGGCAAGCGCCAGGGTTTTCGCTGAGCCGCAGCAGTTTCCACCTATGTCCCCGTTTTTATGGGTGCATTATAGTTAGGGGGTTATATAAATGTTTTTGTCTGTGATCACTGTAAATCCTAACATTTGCAAAAGGCCCCAAGGCAAGCCAACCTTGGACGGAGGGAGGAGGAGAGAGGACGGAGCTGGGGGGGGGGGGAAATCTCCCATTACTGCTGATTAAAAGGAGACTTTAATAAGCGCCTAATTCACTCATCGGGAGTTTTATGGAGAAATTAGAGAAGACAAAAATATCTCTGGAGGGGGTGGGGGCGGGAATCCCCGAGAAAGCCTGTTTCTGAGAGGGAAGCCAGGACAGAACCAGACCCCCCTCAAGCGCCTTAAGATCTAAGGCTGTCTAGGAGAACCAGGTAACGTCTCCTGCCCAGCTCGCCCGCTGCATTCCCAGCCGTTTTCGCCATCACCAAATAAAGGAATGGAGATGTGCATTTTCTAGGCGAGAGGGGCGAGGCCACCAAATTACAGCCGCCTTGCATTTGCGGGCTGCGGGGGGAGCTTGTCCGTCTGCGCCAAAAGCCTCGCTAAGCGGTTGTTTACCAAAAGCAAGCCTCCTCTCTCCTCACCCCAGTTCCCCGCACAAGGGGCTCGCTTGCTTCCCCATATTTGCAGCTCCTCTCCGGACGCCCACCTGCTTTTCTGATGCATGCAACTGCAAAGGACGTTGCTTGCAGCAAGCAAGGAAGGAAGGAAGGAAGCACTCGCGCATGGGTGCACCTTTTCCGCCTTGTTTTGGAGGGGGGCGTTAGTTGCTGGGTTTAACCCTTGAGTTTAAACTCTGAGCTTAAACCCTGAGCTGGCCAGCCCCGCTGCAGAAAACACACACTCCTGAGCTGGCCTCCCCCTTCTCTCCAGCCGAGGCTGTAAAAAGGTCTCCGGCTTGTCTGGGTTTTGTGGCCAACGCTCCGTTGTAAAGAGGAGAGGTTAAAGTGTCGGTTGCCGAATAAAGAGCGGCGCACGTGGGCTTCTTAGCTTTGAGGGCAAACAAATGTAGCAAAGGGGGGAAAGAAAGAAAGACTGGAGGGTGGGGGAAGAGCCAACAACAGCCGGAGCAGCAGGAGGCCCGCAAGACTCGCCCCCCCTTCCCGCGCCTGCCTCTCCCTCCACCCTGTCCATTCATTTCCCCCTCTGCCCGGTGCCAAGGTGCCCACGCTAAGCCTAGCCTGACTGTATCCGTCAAGTCCCCCAGACATGGAACCCACCCAGGAGTCACAAAAGAGAAAGGGGTGGGGGGGGGAGAGAGGAGGGAAATGAGGGGGTCTTGGCTGGGAAAGAAGAAAGTAGCTTTAGGGGAAATGTGCCGTGGAGTGTGAAATTGCAGCCCATGGTGCTCCATATTGTACCAGAAGCTCTCTCTCTCTCAAAAAAAAGCCACGCCAACCCCTCCTCATCCTCCAACGTGACCACAGGGGCAAGGGGGGGGGAGACGGAGGATCCGGGCACCGGGAGGGGTGCTGGGGAGAGAGACGGACCAGGAAGCGGAGGGCAGCGCCAAGTCTCCGCGGAGGGCCCGATCCACCACCAAGCGCCCCGGAGTTGGGGAGTGGGCGCCTCGGAGCAATGCAAAGCAACTTCTCAATATCCAGGGCTTCTCTGTGTATTTGCTCCAGTGTTTCCACAAGCGGCAAGTGAGCTTTTTTAAAAGCTCGGCATGCGGGACATATTAAATGTGCGGAAACGGAGCCCGTTTTAAATCCGCAACGGCTCCGGGTATAGCCCTGTCGCTGCTGCTGCTGCTGTTTTTAACTCTGATTACCCCTACCTGCCGCGCCGTGCATTTGGGTCGCGAGTGTGCCCGCTTGTGTACAACCACTCTCCTATGAATGATAGGCTTATCTCATGCATATAAGATAATCGAGGCTTTCTCCCCTTAGATGACTGCCCAACGCGGTCTCCTTTTAGCAAGAAGAAATGAGCAAGAGTTTTGGTTTATTGACTCAAACCCGGAACTGGAAAACTAAATCCTTCCCGAAAGGGCAACGAGGTCTTTCTGCCTGTCAGTAAGGCCTGTTTGGAGGCCGTCAGGACCTCGCCGTGGTAGAGGGAGCAGACGGAGTCCAATCTGGTTGGGCAGGAAAATATTTGCGCCCCAAAGAAACGAGGAGGGAAATTGGTAGCAGTTACTTGTTAGTGGTGGCGGCGGCCTGGTTTTGTATCCTCTAGCGTCAAGAAGGCAATGGGGGTCGAGGCGCAAAAATACTATCTAGAGCTCCCTAGGTTAAGATAAACTTCATTGTGTGAAGTGGGTGGGTGAGGTCTCTGAGGTGACCTTCGGGGAGCCTCGGTGTGTTGCAGGGGCTCGGATGCGATCAATAGGTTTGACTTGATCAGCTAAGGAGCCGGGGGAGGAGAGGAGCTAATGAAGTAAATGCAAAGATCACTATCTCCTCCGCTACTCCTCCAAAAGTTTGTGGGTTGTTGGTTGTTTTTTTTCCCCCTTCCAAATTTCCGCAGAGGAGCGGTCGCCTCTTTTGAAGTGTAAATGTCCCGAGTTGGGAGGTGAGCGATGAATAGCGGGGACAGGAGACCCTCTTTGAAAAAGGAGAAAGAAGATTCATTTAAAGTAAAAACGGGGAGAAGCAGCCAAGCCTGACTTGGGGAGTTTTCCCAAAGATAACAGAGGTGGGGAGAGAGGGGGTGGTGGAAGGGAGGGGGGGTTCTTTATAGTTATTGAAATCCAGTCCTTCCATCTGTTTGGGGAAGGAAGAAGGGGAAACGGTTTCAGGGATCCTACTTGAGGAACAACCAACCCCTCAACCCCCTCAGGCTGATAGGAATTGTTGTGTGGATTTGATTGGTGACAAAGCAATTCCTCCAGGAAGTCTTGCTCGGAGAGGGGCAGGGGGTGACACTTCGGATGTGCCGTGAGATTAGAGGCTCTCTCTAACAACTCTTTGGAGGCCCGGAGAGCACAACTGATATACCTATTCACAGATAAAGATAGCAACTGTTTGTTTTCAGGGCCGTAAATATATACATATATAATATATACTGTAATATGGTTCTGGCGCTGGGATGTTTTATAAGACCTACGGCTGCAGTTAAACAACATTCTATATCCGATACTTCAATGGGATTTGGTTGCATCTGCGGCTCTCCACGACCTTCTTGCAGCCGCTTCGCTTCTCTCTTCTTGTTGGGGAGCCCGTCACTCCCTGGAGAAGGCAACGTGTGGACGCCTTTTCTCTAGGTTTGCATTCTTGCACCTGCCCACTCTCCACCCAAGCATTGGGCTCTGGGTGGGAGAGGCTTTTCTCCCTCCTCCTCCTGTATAACCTCGATAAGGAACAGGCCCTCCCCCCGCTTCCACTGCCTCGTTCCCACAATCAGAACTATTGTCTCCTTAAATATAGGGTCAGCCTATAAACCTGCTGGAAGACAGAATGAACTCCCCTGTGCGCTAATGACGAGGCGGGGAGGGCGGCGAGAGGGTTGCGGGGAGAGGCAAACAATAGCCTCCTAGGAACAGATGCACCCGGGGGGGGCTGCGAAGGAAAGAGCATGGGGGGGTTACAAAATGGGTCGGCTGGGTCTAAGTCACCGCTGTGAGTTGATGTCCGAAGTGGGGTTTATGGGTTGTGGACTCTGGGCCTGCTTCTTGCAGATGAAATATGTCTGGAAGAAATAGCATGGAAATACCAGGAACTACCTTGTTTTATTTCCAGTAAAAAGGTGTGTGTGGATTCGGTATAATTTAAATAAATTTCTCTGCGCCTTTTCTGGATCCCTTCCCGATACAGGCGTGTTTGTGTGTGTGTGTGTTTGTGTGTGCAGCAACTCCTGGGGGGAGGGGGAGGGGAGAGATTAAGTTAAAATCCGGTTACTTTGAAACTTTTCCCTAGGTCTGGCGATGGAAGCTGCGCAGAAAGCAAACCGCGGAGCGCCATCTACAGGCGCAACTGGGAAAGGGGATTTCGCCGCCTTCCCCTTTCTCTGTATTCGTTCCGGATTTGCTTCAGAGCAAATCATGTTTTCCACCTGTATTCTGAGCAGGGTCCCAGGCACACTAGCACAGCCTACCTCTGCCATCAGCCAGGCTCCAACTCCACCCTGGTCGGGAGCGGGGAGGGAAGCATTCCTTCTTTGATCTACAGCTTCGGCTGCTCTCCTCAAAGGAGTTGGGAAAAGTCTGAGGTGGGGGGAGGAAATTCAGTCTGGGATCGAGGTAGAGTGGGGGGAGGCGAACAGCACAATATCCAGAGCAGGGAGGTGCGCAACAAAGAGACCCGGCCGTGGGGGGGCGAGGAGAGACAGCGTGCGTAATAAAATAATTATACATTGCATTACCGGTACAAAAATTATAGGCGAACTCCAAAAATATTATATTGGATATGGCCATAATTAACCAACGACTCCCACGGCCCAGTTATTCGAATTTTAAGCCTACTTATTCCCATGGATCGCAAGAGCGTTGTACACATATTAGAACTGCCCTCGAACCATTTCCTGGAATAGGCCCGTAGCAAACCGATCTCTGATCCAGTGAAGCAGAAGGACGAGAATTTGGCGCGGGCACTTTCTCTGCTGTGTGACGCGGGCCAGAGGAGAGTCCTCAGAAAAGCCGTCCAGCGATTTTGTTTTTGAAAAATAATAATAATTGAAGCCGCCGAACACACAAGCGGGCCGAAAATGTCCAGAAAAATAAAGAGAGAGGCGCTTTTGTAAACACAGAGCGGGAAAGGAGACGAAGAGAAAAAGGGAGAGAACATCAGCTTAAGTGCCAATTTGATTTATGAGATGGAGGAAAATATTTCATCAAGGAGATCCTTGGCTTAACTGGTTATTAAACAAAGAGGTTAGTTTGTGACAGATAAGCGGAGAGGTGGGAAGGATGGATCAAAGAAAGCAGAGGAAGACGGAGCGGCGCTTCGCCTAATGATACAAGCCGAGGAAGGCAACAAAAACCCGAGCTAATATTCACATCTGTCTGTTTATTAATCTCAGGTTGGTTCCCGACTCTCTTTCGTCAGCTTCCTGCGCGTGTTTTCTGATGCCACCTCTTTCAGTTTTTGCCAGTTTTTGAAATCCGTATCGTACAAAAAATAATAATAAAGAAAAATCAAAAGTTTAAAATGAAAACGGGAGAGGAAAAATTGGAAACAGGCACATTAAGTCATAACACACACGCGCGCGGTTTTAAAATTCTGTTTCTAATGGATCGAAATGAAAATGCGGGCAGAGGAACAAAAATCTGGGACGTTTGAAACAAGCCCCACGAAGGCGGAAATACCCAACATATTTACTTGGAAGCAAGCCCCATTGGAATCAGTGGGGCTTGCCTCCGAGTAAACGTGGTTGGGACTGGAAAATGACTGACAGCTACCGCAAAAAAAGTGTTTTCCTTCTCATCCCTATGCCAGATTTTTCTTACGCAAGAGTTCGAGGCGTTTTTAAACTGAATTCCCCGCAGGCCCTTCACACAGCTGGTTCACACGACCCTCCCGATGCCCAGATTAATCCCCGGGACCTCGAGGGCCTCGTCCCCAATTGCTCAGGTCTGCGGGTGGGGGATTTGGGTGGACAAGTGCCTGCTGGCTTTGCTGGCCGCAGCCCCGACCTCCAGGCGACTCGAGGGGAGGGCGCGCCGAGTTCCAGCGATTTAAGCCGAGGCCGCTTCGCTGCCCGGGCTGCCCCCGCGTCTCCAGATCCGACCCTTTCGCCTGCGTTTGATCGAGGGGCAAACCGGGAGGGAAGGGCGCGCGCGTAGGCGCGCGCGCAAAAGTCGATCCTCGCCTTCAATTCGGCTCCAGCAGCTGAGATTTCTGGAGGCGGAAGGCCTCCCACATTAAAACAAATAATGGCGGCGGGGGAAGTGTTTTCGGGGGGGGCACATTTACATCTACATCGGCAGGCTTCCAACGCGCGTAAAATACAAAAGTAGACCCCTTCATCATCCCATGGCGTGGGAGAGGGAAGAAAACAAAGCCGCGAGGACTCTCTGCGCCCGCGGACTTGCCACGGTGCTACCCAACAGTTGATGCCCCCTGCGAGTTTCGTGGCCCTTCCCGGATCCCCCGATCGCCCAACCAACCAATCAACCACTCCGCGCCTTCCCTATACCTCGGAGGTTTTGGTCCTCTCCCCTCTCCCTGGTCTCCTGGATCTGCTCCCCTCCCCCGCGCCGGCACCCACACACAGATATATTTATTTGTTGGTACGTATTTATTTTTTTGAGGTGGTGCGTTTTTCGCTTTGGCGGTGGCAGAGCGCCGGACCTTCCTTGCCGGGTCTCCGGCGCTGCGTGTTGGCGAATCGGAGAGTGTTGGAATCTATTGCCTTTGTCTGACAAGCCATCCATCTCTCTCTCTCTCTCTCTCTCTCTCTCTCTCTCTCTCTCTGTGTGTGTGTGTGTGTGTGTGTGCCCGGCGAAAAAGGGAGGGCGAGAGCGAGAGGGGAGGGGGCGGAGGTGTGTGCGAGGGAGAGGGATAGCGAGTGTATGTGTGTGTGTGTGTGTACGGAGAGGGGGGGAGTCCGGGGTGAGATCTGGAGGGGGGTTTGCCGCTTTTAGAGAGGCGCACACCGGCGACGGCAGCTCCATTCTCCAGGCAAAGCTCGTGGCAAGCACATCCCACCTTGTGCAAAAAAGAAAAAAAAAAGGAGACAGGGGGGAGGAGAGAGAGAGAGGAGAGGGAGGGAGGCGACAAGGAAGGAGGGAGCAAGCGAGCGAGCCAGGGGGGAAAAAGTCTGGAAGGACCAGGAGGAGCCGGGTTTCCTCCTTCGCCCTCCGCCTAGGGAACCCGGAGCAGCGGAGTCAGAAGCAGATCCTCGACGGCGGAGAGAAGAAGCGCCTGCCTGGGTGACCCACCGGCCCATCGCTCCCCGGATTTGCCGCCGTGCCGTCGAACGAACTTGGCAGAAGCGAACTCCGCGGCGCCGGCGACTTGGAGAGCCGAGCGCGACGCTTCTGCGCTGCGCCGGCCCGACGGGGCCCCCGCCATGCCGTGCACCTGTCCTTGCTCCGGGTGGGGATCGTGAGCGCCGCCGAGGAAGGAAAGTTCCCTTGGCCCTCCGCCGGCCCAGGACCGGCAGCGAGGGAAGAAGGGCGACCCGGGGGGCGGCGCCACCACCGCCGCCGCCGCCGCTTCGGCTTCTCCATCTTCTGCTCCTCGTCCAGGCCGTCGCCCGGCTCCCTGTCGGCGCGCCGAGCCGGCTCCCCGTCCGCTCCGCCGCGCCTCCGGCCCGATTCTCCCCCAAGTGCCGAAGTTGACTCTGCGCGGCGACACGGCGGCGTCAGCCGACTTCTTCCCCTTCCTCTGCCTCCCCATGGATATGCACTGCAAGGCAGACCCCTTCTCCGCGATGCACCGTGAGTACCGGCAGCAGCCCTCGGCGCCGCCGCCGCCGCTTCCTCCTCTCCTCTCCCTCCGCACCTGAGAGCCCCTTCCCCGCTTGCCATCTCCGCCGGCTGGAAGGTGAAGCAGGAAAAAGGCCGGGCAGCCGTGGCAGTCCTTCCACTTTCTAGTGGACTGCGGGCCGGGGGGGAGAAGTTTTAGAAGGGACCCCCTCACCCCACACTCCTGGCGGCGCTGTTAGCGGAGTGAAGGCCCCCAAACTCCCTTTCCATAGAGCCAAATCTTTGAAATAGTTCGGAGGAGTTCTGGACTTTAAAAATGCAACCTAGGGCTTCAGTTAGGCAGGAGAAAAGCCGGTAGAATATTATGAAATTATAATTGGATAGGAACATAATATAGTATGCTTATAAGACGTCGGTATAAATCTATACACTGCCTTTCCCCTTAGATTTTACATTATCTGATTTGTATTTATTAAACGGGGGTCAGGAGAGGAAAAGCCAGCCTCGGCGTAAGCTGAGAGCGTTTCCTTTAAAATAAGGATTTTAAAGGCCTTTCCGTTCGATTCGCTTTGCCTTCTCTGAAGTTTTGTGCGTTGAGCTTTCCGTTTGCCACATCCCCCCCCCCGCCGCCGCCCCAAATCCTCGGCCTGTCTTTTAAATGCATCCATTTCTGACGCGGAGGGGCAGAGGATCCCGGAATTGTTTTTCTCTCTATCCATTTCACGAGGAGCAAAACCCAGAAATCAACCTGGCTCTTTCTTCTTATTGTCGCGGCTCACCATCGCCTCGCTTAACACTTTTTATTTAAAAGGAAATTGAGGAGGAACAATTCTGTTTAAAACAAAACAAAAAGCAACAACCTTCAGCTGAAACCAGAGAGGGGAGACTGAGAGAGTCAGTAAATGAATAATTAACAGCAATCCCTAACTTTTGACATCCTTAACTTTCAAGCATATGCCCTACACAAAAATCACGCTTAAAAAGACACAAAGGAGGGGAAAATAATGTGTTAGGAGTTAAAACGTATTTTGGGACTAGGAAATCGGGCGAAAAGAACCGATGTTCCAACCAATAAATACCTTTAAAAAAAAACCTAAAACCGACCGTTGTCTATATTTTTCGCATTTTTGACATTTCGTGTCAATCACCTGCCTCTTATAAAAGCCAAACTGAAATGATTCCAGCTGCAGTTTGATGTAGGAATGTTTTAACAGGCCGAATCCCACATTAGGTATATCTAGAACCATTTAAAATTAAACAACGTGGCTCATCGGAAGGTTTAATTCCCTCCTGCAAATGCGTTGGGGTTTTTTTGTTTCTTGGAAGCGGGGTGAATTTCGTACCCCCACAACCTCTTCTGACTTGCTCCGGGTAGAAGCGTGCGCCATTCAACGAGCGCCCTGCGTTACAAAGGGACGGCCGGAGCACGAAAAGCGAGAAACAGCCGTAGGAAAGGGGGGAAAAGACAGTCTCTAACCCCGAAGGAAGTGAATTCAGAACTTGGGCTGGTGTGTGGCTGGGGAGACGCAGGTGCAATAATCTGAATTATTAATCCCTTAATCTTTTTTGCATCTGTTGCCTTTTAATACTCTGTAATGCGAGTTATCAAAGGTGCCCTGAATTATTCAGGAATGAGGTGCTGCAGAAATTGCCTGCTTGGTAACTTTAGAGGCAACATCTGCAGAAGGTGACCCAGACAAATGAAGGGAACAAACAGATACAGAGTGAGAAAGAGAGGCCGGTCAACGCCATTCCACCTGCAAAAATAAAAAATAAAGAGAGACAGTGAAAAGTGTGCGGTGGACGCTTTGGAAGGGGGGACCGGGGCGGTTGCAGGAAGACGACCTGAAATCCCCTCTTAATTTCACGAAAACAAAGCCGTGGCAGTGGTTGGGGAGCGGCGGCGTGGAGTGCATTTTTGTGCAACCTGCGCGCCAGTAAATAGGATGTAAGCGGGCTTAAGAAGCTGAGCATCCTGGAAGGTGCTGTGCGAGGAGGTGAAAAAACTCTATTTGCGAGAAAGGACTGGGATCGATCGCAGGGGCAATGAGAGTTTCCACTAAGTTCAGAGCCAATAAGTCAGTGTCACTGAGTACCGAGGAGGGTGGGAGCAGGGCAAAAATACAAACAGATCATTTTTCAGTAAGCTTGGGGAGGGAAAAAAACCCAAACACTCAAGATCTCTTTTCCCTTCCTTCCTACCTCGCCCAGGCAGCAGCAAAGGTTAGGTCCGTTGTGTGCGAGTTAAATGCAGCGCTCTATTCACCTTGTGGGTGTAATCACTCCAGGGACCTTTTGACACTTAACATCGCTCCGGTACCTATTCCAGTTAAACACCGGAGAGGGGGCTTCAAGTAGCTCCCCAGCCCACGGCAGGTTCCGCCTGGGCTGGAGCGCCCGAAAGGGAAATATTTCGGCTTAAGTGAGTTGCGGATCGAGGAGCAAGGGAGAAGGGACCGCGGGGAAAGGCTAATAAACAACAACACCGGGGGGGGGGGTTCTCTTAGAGCCTTTCGGCGCTGTCCAAAACATCCAAACCCCCACAGATTATTGTGGCAAACGCTGGATTAAAATCCGCTCCGTGAAATTCCTGCTTCTCCTTTGGAGGACAGCAGAGATAGACCCCTGCCCCGCTGGACTTAGCTAAATTATAAATTATTAGACTGCTGCAAAGGCAGATCAGGTCTGGGAGATTGTCTGAGGCGGGGAGGATAAAGAGAAATACATAAAAAGATAGATGGCTTAAATAAAATAAAAACAAAGCGCACCCGAAGCTGGTGTAAATTATTATTCCTCTGAAAAATAATTCCGTATAATGGGAGAAATTATCCTGAAAAGCAAAGAAAGAAAAAGGAAAGATATAAAATGTTAGTGAGGGGGGAGAAGAAAAGAGACGGACTCCTTCGTTCTATTTTTATACCAGCATCTATGTAACAAATTTAGCAATCATTTTGCTATGAAACAATTGAGCGGCCCCTCAGAAAGGAGTAGGATTTCGCCCGTGTCAGAGGATCGAGCCCGATCTGTTTGGAAACTTGGGCAGAGCCGAGTGGAAATATAAATTGAGGGAAGAAAAGAGAGAAAAGGAGAGGAGAATTTGAGGAGACCGTCCTCCTGAGCAGAGATTTTGGTTTCCGGTGGGAACGGCCAAGTCAATCACCTGCCACCCTCCCCAGGGTGGGAAAGACCCTTAAAAAACACACAGGGGAGCACCCAGCCCCGTTGGGCGCCACGAGAAGGCTCCCTTCGCCGCGGGGGTCGAATCCTGCCTGCCTGCCTGCCTTCCCACCCCACCCCTTCCCCTGTCATTGGCGACTTGTCCGGCTTAACTGCCCCGACTAATGTTTTTCCCCCTTTCCCCTCCTTTCCCTCCCCTCTCCTGCCCTCCCTCCCCCACCCCCGGTGTGCGTGGGTCTTCGCTGGTGTGTGCGTGTTTCTTCTCTCTCCCCAGCAGGGCACGGGGGTGTCAACCAGCTCGGGGGGGTGTTTGTGAACGGCAGGCCCCTGCCGGACGTGGTGAGGCAAAGGATCGTGGAGCTGGCTCACCAGGGGGTGCGACCCTGCGACATCTCCCGGCAGCTGCGGGTCAGCCACGGCTGCGTCAGCAAGATTCTGGGCAGGTAAGGCCCGGGCGCGCGTGGGGAGGGCAAGCGCCGCCAGGGGCGGGGAGGGGGGAGAGAGAGAGAGGCGCCTCGGCTGCCCTTTGGCAGAGTCTCGGTGTGGACCTGGAAGCGGAGCCCTGGACCCCGGGGGCGAAGGGAGGCCCGGCTCGTCGGCGCTGCGCACCCGCCACCCAGCACCCACGCTCCTCTCTTGCTTTCTTTTGTCTGGCACTATCTTAAAACAGGGACCTGCTGTGGGTTCGGAAAGAGGGGGAAAAGCCCACCAAGCAAAGAAACAAAGCGATTGCAACCCAATTTGCTGTGAGACCAACCTGCAAGTCTCCCCTCCCTGCCTTCTCCTCCTCCCAGCTAAGACAGGCCGGGCCCTACTTTCTCTCCACCCCCAGGTCAGCAGGAACCAGCAGGCCGGCAGGCTGCCTCTCTCTCTCTCTCCTCCTCCTCTCTCTCTCTTTTTCTTCCTTCTCCCCCCCCCCCTTTCGCCAAGTAGATGTCACCGCCCTACAGCAGAGCTCAGCTCAAAGGGGGAGTGGGGAGAAGGCGGGGGGGGGGCAGCTGAGCCGAGTGCATGCCAGGGAGGGGGCTGTGGAGGGGGGTGTCCAAAAAATGTAGATTTTCCACTATCACCCCGCTTTCTTTGCAAAGGATTTGCAAAGGGATTAGCAATTGCCCGGCGAAGGGCAGAGAGAGAGAGAAGAGAAAGAGAAAGAGAGAGAGAGACAGAGAGAGAGAGACAGAGGAAAAAAATGCGTCTGGGTTTTTTAGGGGGTGGGGGAGACCCGGGACTAAGCGCTGGGGAGGAAATCGGAGTCGAGGAAATCCCCCTTGAAAAAACAAAACCAACTCTCAGTTTCCCCCTCCCCCACGGTTAAGTGTGTCTAGCTAACTTCTCCTGGCTGTAGGTTGGCATGGGCAGGGGGGAGGGGGGAGTGTTGTGGCCAGGGTGCCCCCGGCCTCTGCATCGTCCTGCCCCGCCGAACCAGGCGTTACGCGCGCCAAGGGCCTGTGGAAAATGGGGGGGTGGTGTTTTCCGGGGCTGACTAAAGGCAAGGCGGACCCTGGCAACCCCAGGACGGGATGCGAGAGTGGGGTTTCCCTTGCAGATCTGCGCGGGGGCGGGGGCGGGAATGCGGGGTCCAAAAATCGCCTCCCCAACCCGTTGGTTTGTGTGCACGTGTTCGGGAGCGGCGGTGGGCGCGGGGTGCGTGGATGGAGGCTTCCCTGCAGGCTCGGGGGCTCAGCTTTGAACCTCGCTCTGCGCTTGCAGGTACTACGAGACGGGGAGCATCAAGCCAGGCGTGATCGGAGGCTCTAAGCCCAAAGTGGCGACCCCCAAAGTAGTGGATAAAATCGCCGAGTACAAGAGGCAAAACCCCACCATGTTCGCTTGGGAGATCCGGGACCGGCTACTGGCCGAGGGCATCTGCGACAACGACACCGTCCCCAGCGTGTCCTCCATCAACCGGTGAGTCGCACACACCAGCGCCTCCTGCGCCCCCCAGCCTCTGAACGCCACCGGGTTGCTTTCCTGGCGGGACACCCAGCCCGCCTTCTCCCCCCACTCCGCCCTTGTCCCTAGAGGCCCTGAAGACCCCTGCCCACCCCAACAGACGCTTCCTCTCTTCTTCTCTGAGTCCTCTCTCTGTGTGTGCCTGTCTCTCCCTCGCTCACACTTCGTCTGAAAGGACAAAAAAAAAGAGGTCTCCATCCTAACTCATGGAGCCACTCCAGTTTCCGGGCGCGCGGGCGAGCTTCTGGACCGCTTCTGTATCTGCCTTAGGGCGTGCCCGTGGGGCTCCGACGGCTTGTCTTGGTTCGCCGGGGCAGATTTTCCAAAGGAGATGGTTATGGGGCTAACGAAATGTAGGGTGGCGACACGGGTAGGGGGAGCAGGGAGCGGGGTCCCCGGCACCTCTTCCCAGCAGTTGTTTCGGCGCGCAATTGGCGTCCGGTTTGTTGGGGGAAAAGAGGAGATGGACGCGCTCATAGTATCTTTGCTTCCCTGGGAAAGACGGGCATTTTCTCTCCGGTTAAACCTCTCAAAACATGAAAAGCTCCTATATGTGGAGACGATTGCCGTGCCGTTAAAATACCAAATGGTGATTTGTCTTAAACAAACAGTCTTAACTTCTGCTACTACTTCTTCTTTTCCTCGCCCTCAAATAAGTGGCCTTTCTTTTCCCCTCCCCCGGGCAATGACGCTTCCTTTTGGAGGAAGAAAGAGCCCTCGCACCTTTTCGAGCCCCTCGGGAGTTGGAGAAACTTCTGAAAGGAAGATTCGCTTAGGTCAAGGGTTACAAACAGTTGTGTGCCTGCCTGCGCGCAGGCGCCTCTGCCTGCGCTCTGTGTGCGTCTCACGCGTATTTTTCGCTATCTCGATTTTAGTTTGGCAGCTTTCTAAACATCTTATTTCGTGTTCCCTGCTGATGTGTGCCTTTCTTTCTTTCTTTCCTTTCCAAGTTTCTGGCTATATCATAGGGGTGGCGCCCCATTTGTGTGAGTGTGTGCCGTACAAAAGTAGTCAGAGAGTAATGCCAGCCTTGTACATTTCACTGTGCCTTCCAAAGCAGGTTGCCTGCCTGTCTTTCTACCTATAGATAACTAAATAAATAGAAGACAGATACCCCTGTGATAAGATCCAGTGCTGGTGTTGAGACAACAATGTAAGAGAATCAACTAGAGAGCGATACATCCCCTGTGCTTTCAAAAGCAACGCAGTGGGACAATTTGCACACCTGCAAGTGGCAGAATACACACTGAGAACCCTAAATACCCTCCTTCAAAGAGAGACACTCCACTATTCCATGTGCTGACTTGGCAAGACAAAAATCCTGGGCGAGGTGATCTGGAAGCTGTGATTTAGATAGGCGCACACACTATTGGTTGTGCTTGAGAAGGGAAAGTAGGATTGAAGGACTTCAACGTTCTGTTGCCATCAGTTACAAAGGAATTAATGCGGGGTACATATCTGAGCAGATTTTTAGACTTACCTGTATTTGTGGCTCCCTTATACCCAGCATGTTAAGAATGCATGTAAGGAAAAGGAAAGAAAACTCTAAATGGATGTGTTTCGAAACATACAGATTGAGATGCAAGAGTATTTTCTGCCACAAACTGCAGAAAGGGGCAGCTGCTGCAAATATCAGAGATATGAATCTCCATGCAGGAAAAAGTAATATAGAAAGTCGCCCCACAGAGACACTTGTATCCAGATGGACACAACAGTCTAGCATCCATCTCTACAGCTGCTTGGCTAAATAGTTAATCATGAAATACATAGAAAATGTAGCCAATTCCATTTTTTAAAAAAGAAGTCATTTTCACCAATAGGAATAGGGGGGGGGGGGGAAATGCTTTGTTAATTTATGTGGTTTCCATAGAAGATTTGTCAAAGTTCTAATGGCCAGGAGGCATTTCCCCCCCCCCCCCAAGTTGGCATCTTCGATCAATGGCTTCTAATATTTTTGAAAATGATATGGAATTATCCCAAATCATCTCAAAACAGCAGGTAAAATTAACTTGGAGAATGTACCTTGGCTAAAAAAAGCTCCCCCCCAAACACACTGTCTCTGTAATATACTGCAAGGCTATCCCAGGAAATTGTCCCTGTGTGTGCCATCTGTATTAAAATGGTTATTAAGTTATGAAGAGAGTAACATAATACTGATTGGCTAATTATACACCCTCCTTTTGAAAAATCCCAGATCCTACCGTCTCTGTTCGGGACTGAAATAATAACACTTTGACATTCAGGCACCTTTTTGGAAGCAGCTGTAGAAGGGCAGTCAGGAGAGAGAATAACTCAGCACCTCAAAATTGCAGAGAGAGAGTTTCATTTTATTCGGGGTTTGTTCCCTCCTGAGAGCAGCACACTTTTCTTGGCTAGCGCAGAAAACCTGCTCTTGGCGGCTCTGACACATGTAACTATCAGGCAACCATCCTAGTTGGGTGGTGGTAGGAACTGTCCTTAGGGAATCAAGCAGTTTTTGCATGAGGATGTGATGTGCAAAAAGCGATGGGCGGTGGTGTTTAAAGAGCACACCCTGTAGAACACACAGAATCTGGTTTCTTAGCCGAAGCAATCCCCCGTCCCAAGCCCCACATTTGTGCACTGTTTATCTTTGTGTACAATATGCACACGGTCTTCTGCTTTGGCTACTTTTCTGGATCGGGACTATTAGATTTCACCCCCTGGTTGCTGTACGAAGAGGTCAGTTCCGAGTTTAGGTAGCTCTGAGTTTACCTTTAAATATTGACTAGATGGCAACTTACCAGAGTAGCAAGGACCTTCCAGGGGCAACTGCAGCAGCTGATGTTAAGCATGTGGGAACAGAATGAGTAAATTCCGCAAATGGTTGTGTACGCACAAGCTCAGGGCATCGCCTTGAGACTCAGGCACTTCTTAGATCCAGTTGGTATCCATTTAACTGGGAGACCTTAATTTGCTCGGTCTGCCCCAGAAATGAAGTTAAATGTGTTAACACAAGCAGCATTTGTTATCGTAAGGTCTGATCATACTCTTGGCAAATATTCCCCAGAAATATGGTAAATATGATTGCACCCATTGGGTCCTGAGAGATCTCTCAACCTTCTGAAATTCAGTTTTGAAGAAGGTGCCCTTTTTGTTCCCCTAATAATTAAAAGTTATCTTGGTGCAGATTTTTAAAAAACAGCAGCCTTTCATGCCCTCCCCACTCCTTCTTCCTTTCACTCATTAGTCAAGGGGGGATTTGTTCTTGGAATTTGAGACACGCAAAAAATGACTCAATTTAAGGCCATGAGCAATGGCAGAAAGAAGTGAGGAACCCTGGAACTGAGAAATACAGGAGGGAGTAATTAGACACCCCCCCAAAAAAAGCCTGATATTTTTTCCACTGAGCAGTATTTCCTCCTGCCAGCTTCTGTGGGGAAATCTCTGATCTTTACAAGAGTGCAAAAAGGAAGGTTTAGTCAAAAATCCAAATGCAAACGCTTGCCCGATATTCACAAATATTGGGCGGGCAGATAAGCAGGCCGATTTCTAGTTCACATGCATGTTAAAAAACGATGACGCAAAACCATGTCATTATTTTGCTAATGGTTTGCCAACGCCTTGCCGATGTGGCCTGCAAATTCATATTTGCACAATCGTTTGCGACAGAAGTGCCCTCCCGTTGCTCCCACTAAATTTCTTAACTCTCATGTGGGAAATGAGTGTTTACGTTTGCAAATGCAAATATTCGGAAGTGATCCCTCAGGAACAGGTTTCAGATCTGGCGTCTTGAAACTATAAGAACCGTGGCATTTTGCACGGAGTTTGTTTATTTTACTTTATATTTATACCTTGCCTTGTTTGATCACTTCTGTGTTCCAAGAGCAAGTGCTACATAATGGCAGGCGTAAAGTCAGAAAATTTTAGTTTCTTTTTCATGTGCAAAATGGAAGATTCTTTGTAAGAAGCCTTTAGAGCTGATTCAGCTGGAGTCTATTTTTTCTCTTTTCAGAAACGGCACAGTCAAATTTCGGATACATAGATCCTTGAATAATCATAATATAATTTTAATATCCCTTTTTATATGTTGGAATATAAGGAATATATGGGGTATACCGTGGTACGGCGAAATAGAAGAGCAGTCCCAACTTTAAAATTTGCAACCAAAGTATCCTATCCTTTCTGCTCACCTATACAGTATACCAAAGAATAAAAATGTTTTCTTATTCCTCCTCCTCCTCTTCTTTCCCGACAATATGACTGTATACTTGCATTATAAATTTACTGCCGATCAGTGCCGAAAAACAACCGGGAATTTATTTCTGTTTTGTTATGTGTGTGCCTGTGTCTTCTTCAGCTTTTGTTACTTTTGAGATGAGGCGGGCCATAAATCAAGAGATAGATAGATGAGAACCTAAGGAAGGTTTGTTACTTCAGGTCTCGATGCGCTGCTTTGATGAGGAGCAAGTGACCCTGGTATCATTGACCCTGGTATAAGGAAAGGGGAGCGTGGAAAACACAGATATCTCAGCTTTGAAAGTCGTAACTGGTATGAAACCTTTCTCAAGCCAGTGAAAGAAAGAAAGAAAGAAAGAAAGAAAGAAAGAAAGAAAGAAAGAAAGAAAGAAAGAAAAGAAATAAGAGAGACTTGGACATAGGGGGAGCAATCTGATGACTCAAACCTATGACAGGGGCTGTAGCGATCAGATGGTCTTTTAAGATACATGGGGGGGGGGGATCAGTTCCTGAAACGGGCAGCTGTCTCTGAACAAGCAGCAAAGACACGTCCATATATTAATTAATTGGTAAAAATAAAGTTAAGTTCAATGGGGCATAATCCTGTGTGTGTGAGAGAGAAGTGTAACTGGACTTCAGTTGTGTAGACTGAAAGCAGCCAACGTGAATGAAATATGTAGTTCTGTTCTACCTTTTAAAAGGGAGAAACTTTCCTAATTCTACCATTTGTTCTGCGCAGGAAATAATGCATAGCTGGC